GTTTATCCACACCACTGTGTGGTTATATCACATTTTGCAACACTAAGTAAAAAGAGAAACTGTGTCAATTTAATTCAAGGCATTTTCTTTTTCCTACCCAGCTCAGTGTGTATATTCGTACAAGGTTGTATATCCAAACAATGGTATGAGGTACCTATATAAAAACATTCAGCAGTAAAATACAATTCAGGGAGCAGAGGGCAAGCTGAGGGCAGAGCCCAAACTGACACCCCCGAACCTGCCCCAATCTCAGGTGGCATCTGTGTGACCATCCTTAGGCACTTCCCGATGCCCTAAAGCCAAGGGAAGGAAAAGCAAATGTTTAATTGATAAAGATCACAGTCCTGCAGGGCTGGAGTCTCCCTCAGTTTACAAATGTGCCAGGGATTTACAAGGAAAAAGCATTCTTACAATAAATAACCTAACTTCCAGAAGGAATCTCCCAAGGATCCTAATGTTAATGCTTTACCAGACGGAAAAGCAACCTTAACTTTGACAATGGCAAGGCCTTCAGTGTCTTGTAGGTGGTCTTTAGCATATGAAAGTTCTTTTGAAACCCTCCCTTTTCCCTTACTTCCCCCAACTCCCAAGTATATAATCAGTCACCCCTCCCGAGCCCAGTGCGCTACTCTTTCTGCACCCCCCTTTCCTGTTCCTGTGCTTTAACGAATCCGCCTGTTCGTGCTAAAGCTGTCTCAGGAATTCTTTCTTGGTCGTGGGCTCAGGACATCACTTACATTCAAACACTACACATCACAATGAAGTACTGATATGTGAGATAACATGGATGAAGCTTAAAAACACGAAAGGTCACATACCATGTAATTCCATTTATATGAAGTGTCCAGAGTAGGTAAATGTATACAGACAGAAAAGAGATGATTGACTGCCTAGGGTTGGTGAAGGGGAATTACAGGAAATGAGTTATAAGTAATATATAGTGTATTATATAATACATATAATATATGTATTATATGTAATTAAAATGTATGGTGATGTACGATATATTGTATATGTATTATATAGTAAATATAATATGTAATGTATAATATAAAATGTAGTGGTGATGTAAATATTCTATAATCCATTGCCATGTTGGTGGTACAATCTTTACTGACTTCTAGCATATTTAAATTGAGTGAATCGCATGGTTTGTGAGTTATAACACAATAAAGCGGTTACAAAAATCTAATTCCTAGAACCAGAAGTCAAAGTCATGTTTAATAACTTATTAATACAGGGGCATCTGGGTGGCTCAGTCAATTCAGTGTCAGACTCTTGGTCTTCACTCTAGTCTGGATCTTGAGGTCGTGGGTTTGAGCCCCATGTTGGGCTCTATGTGGAGCCTACTTAAAAACATAATAACTCATTAATATAGTCAGGTCTCCATTTCAAAAGCTACCAATTTTAGGGGTGCCTGGATGGCTCACTGGGTTAAGCCTCTGCCTTCGGCTCAGGTCATGATCTCAGGGTCCTGGGATTGAGCCCCACATCAGGCTCTCTGCTCAGTGGGGAGCCTGCTTCTCCCTCTGTCTCTGCCTGCTGCTCTGCCTACTTGTGATATCTCTCTCTCTCTGTCAAATAAATAAAATCTTAAAAAAAAAGCTACCAATTTTAGAATGGATTCTACTCTGCCACCATTTTTTTGATTACTACTTGTTGCATCTCCTTCAGCACAAAATGAAACCTTTGAGATTCACTCGTAGCATCAACAAAATCAAGGACGTAGTCCAGACCATCCTACAGCAGATCTTTTTTTTTTAAAGATTTATTTATTTGAGAGAGGGAGAGCATGCACAAGCAAGTGTGGGAGGGGCGGGGAGAATCCTAAGCAGACTCCACACTGAACATGGAGCCCAACTCGGGGCTCAAGATCATGACCCCAAGATCGTGACTTGGGCCAAGCCCAAGAGTCAGGGGCTTAACCTTCTGCCACCCAGGCACCACACAGATGATAGTTTAAATTCAGCAGTCTGGTCTCCATTAGTCTCTCCTCTTTTCTGAACAGCTGCCTTTGTTTTTTTTTTTTTTTAAGATTTTATTTATTTATTTGACAGACAGAGATCATAAGCAGGCAGAGAGGCAGGCAGAGAGAATGGGGGATGCAGGCTCCCCGCTGAGCAGAGAGCCCGATGCGGGGCTCCATCCCAAGACCCTGAGATTATGACCTGAGCCGAAGGCAGAGGCTTAACCCACTGAGCCACCCAGGTGCCCCGAACAGCTGCGTTTGTAATTGGAGGTAGCCTTTTCTTCATCATTCCCATTTAACCACACCCTATCTTTCCCCAAATTGGCTTCTAATTCTCCATGTTTCTTAAGAATTTGTCTACAATTGCCCTCTTCTAAGGCTTTCAGATCATAGTCAGGTTCCTTTCTGTAAAGATTTCCTAGGAAGCTGCTATAGTACTGTGTTTTACTGCATCCCAGCTCTTGACCCACTTAAAAATTCACAACATTTTTGTGTTGTGGATTTTAATTCTGGAAACTCTTTTTCATTGTCTTGCTCATTGTAACCTTATTCAGAATTATGATTTTCTTCAAGTTGTTTCCACCTATAGAGTCATTTGTAGCTCAGGATCACACCTTGATTCCTTGGGTGAATCAAGGTTGAAGTATTTGAAGGGAGGAAAATGCCCTATAGATTTTACATACTTCCTCTTCTGCTGTTTCAAACATATTAGCCAAAATTTAACTATAAGTGGCATCTGGGCATTATGCGTTTAATTAGAAACCTTTAATTTTGCAGACACTGTTCAATGTTTGGTTTTACTATTAACCATATTAACAACACATAATGAAATTTGTTGTTAAGTAAATTACAACTTGTCTTCCTGGAGTCTATAGTCCTTTGAAAGATTTTTCTCTTCGGGGGACCTGGGTGGCTCAGTCAGTTAAGTGGCTGCCTTTAACTCAGGTCATGATCCTAGGGTTTTGGGATGGAGCCCCATGTTGGGCTACCTGCTCAGTGGGGAATCTGCTTCTCTCTCTGTCTGCCACTCCCCCTGCTCGCATTTGCTCTCCCCCCACCCTGTGTCAAATATATAAACCGTAGAAGGTTGAAGAGAGCATTATACTTATTTCTATATTCACTCTAAATGCTTAACTGTTTAATCTACAGATAATTTCTATTGAAGACAATTATGAGGAATAACTTTATGCAGATTAATATATAAACTTCACATAGTGTAAAAATCTTAAGATTAAAAAAAAAGAAACAAACAAAGAAAAAGGAAATGACTTTTATCTAACTACCCCATTGGTTAGTTGAGTGATTAAATTGAAGGATGAGCCCAGGAATTGTTCAGAAGTAACAGTGCCCTGACTTCTTCATCATCAAAAAACATTAGGTTGAAAAATGCCTGACCTCAGGAACAGAGCTTTGAGAGGAAGATTCTGAAAACATTTCTCTGGTGAGGCAAACCTCTTTACTAGGATGATATATCACAGATAGTGCACCGTGTCTTTGATGGGATTTTGGATTACAGGTGAGGTTCCGTGGAGTGAGGTCCGGAGCCAGCCACCAAGAAAGAATTCTTGAGATGTCTTTAGGGCAAAATGGTGGTTTAAGCATACCGACAGCACCTGTGCTTATATCCTCAAGAGCTGGGGGGAAAGTTAAGGACAAGGGAGGGTTTCAAAAGAACATTCATATACTAAAGCGGACCGACCTACAAGGTACCTACAAGATGCCAGAGGTCTTGCCATTGTCAAATGAAGGTTGTTTTCCCCTCTAGCAAGGTAGTAACATTAAGGTAGTAGGGGCGCCTGGGTGGCTCGGTGGGTTAAAGCCTCTGCCTTCAGCTCGGGTCGTGGTCTCAGGGTCCTGGGATCCGCCCCGCATCAGGCTCTCTGCTCAGCAGGGAGCCTGCTTCCCTCTCTCTCTACCTGCCTCTCTGCCTACTTGTGATCTCTGTCAAATAAATACATAAAATCTCAAAAAAACCCCATTAAGATAGTAGCTGGATCCCTGGAAGAACTCTCACGTGTCCCACCCAGGAGCGGCGGGTGAGGTGAGGTTGCAGGCTGTCAGCTTCTGCTTTGTCTTCCGCTAGCTTCTGCTCCCTCATCATCTTCCTGCCCCCTTTGGGCTGCTGCGTCTTTCAAATGAAGATCTGACCTTAGCTTGAGTCTCCTCGGCTTTTGCATGTAAAAAGTCAGATAGGCACTCTTTGTTTATTTTTCTTCTAGGCCTGTAGGTCTCTTTTCTGCTTGCCTGGGGAGTTTCTTGCAAGGACTTCCAAAAGACTTCCGTTTTATCCCCATTGCCCTGCTGAGCTACATAGTTTCTTCTCTTTGGATTCATAGGGACAGTTTCCATTCAAATGGCTCAACACTAGGTAAACACTGATACTTTGAAGACTCTGACAACCCAAGATACTCAGGTTCCTAGAAAGAGGACTTATCCAGAAGACTACGCTGAGCATTACAGGAGTTATGTGATGAAACAAGGTTCCTGTCTCACAGGGAGGCATAATGCAGTAGAAAAAGCAAGGGATATAGCACTAAAAGACCCCAATTCTTGTCTAAAAACTGCCACTGGCAATCCATGTGACCCTGAGGACGTCATGTCCTACAACTCGGGAGGCTTGGGACAAGTCTAGTGACGACTTTCAGGGGTGGCATTCCTCCCTTGGCGGGTGTGTGTGTGTGGGGGGGGTTCCCGGTAGGAAGGGCTGCGGCCTCCGGAAGGCAACCTGAACGATTTGCACTTCACCAAGTCAGGGCCACAAGATCGAGGCACCTTGAGTCGGAGGGCTACATGCCTCCCAGGTGACCAGAGGCTTCCGGGGCTGCCTTGGGCCCGCCCCGGGCCTGGGGAAGGCGTGTTCGCGTCCGGTCCTGAGCCGGAGCAGAAGGCCGCGCCCCCGGGACGGAAAGGAGCCGCGGCACGGTTCCCGCCCCGCTGCGCCGAGGCGCCACAGGTAGAGACAGGGCGATGGCTGGGCGTGGCTGTCACGAAGCCGCCGGAAGCGCATTCTTTCTTTTCCGGTCGGGCCAGGTCCACAGACCTCGACCCCAAAATGGCGAGTCGGGGTACGGTCTCTGGGAGCTAGGAGCGATCCACTGGGGGACTGGTCCTCCAAGCCCTCCGCGCTCCGGAGCTCGGCGCCGCTCTCGCCAGGCCCGCAGGGGCACGGGAAGCGGGCGCTTCCTCCCCAGCGCGGCGGGGAGGCGTGGCGACGTCGCAGCCCCAGTCGAGGAAGAGGGAAGTGGCGTCCGCAGAAGCCGGGACTGGGAGGAGGTAATGGAGAAACCGCGTCGCCCCTGGGATTTGGTGGCGCGCGCCCCCAGCGCTGCGGGCCGCACGTGCGACTGGCAACCCCCCGGGGCGGTGACCTGGGGGGGGCGGAGCCAGCAGCTTCCCGCGGCGCGCCGGGCGGTCTCAGCCCCGCGGCGGCGCGGCCCGGCGGGTACTCGGGCTCCGAGCGCCCCGTCCAGCCTGGGCGAGCAACCTCTTTGTCCCCCAGGGGCACGTGCAGCCCAGGGATGCTCCCCGGGCACCCTGGGGGGCCGGCCGCCCGCGGAGTGCTCGGGGGCGCGCTGGTGGTCGGGAGCGAGGGCGTCGCGGATTCGCGGGGTCGGGGAGGCTCAGTGACTCGCTCTGCACCCAACGACACTCCCCGGTTTCCTCTGGCTGATAGGTCGCCAGAGAAAGGGGCCTTTCAGGCTCAAAGACGTTAGTTTCTGTTGGCATAGAAATAGAGGAGGCGCCCCTATACCTTCTGCACCTGGATAGCCAGCAAGGAACCGAGCGTTTCTCTGAATACCCGTGGCATCCTCAAAAGAACTTTGTTGCTGTTGCTGCTGGGATACCTCAGGGAAAATCAGCCTCTTAAGGCCACCCTTAGCCTTACTTAAAGACCTGTGTGCCCCTGAGGAAATGTAAAGTCAGGAGAAGGGTTACCTTTACTAGGACCCTTCCTGTCTCAGAAGAACCTCAATGATCACCCTTTCTCTTTCATTTTTTACAAGCTGACGTTGTATTTGGTAAAGGAGGCCAACTTGTGTTTCCAGTAAAGTAAGCAAAAAGTTAATACACAGGTACAAATCTGCACCGTGCCCTTGATAATCTTCCCAAAAAGTAGCAAAAAAAAAAAAAAAATTGACATCTGGTTGCCCAGTTGGGGGATATTTGCTGAGAGGGATAAGTTTACTTTTTTCCCTAATTGCTTTACTTCTTCTCTGATCTGGTTGTCTCAGTTTTCCTGTTGGTATTAATACAACAGAAAGGAGACTATCAGATGTTCCATGAAGTAAAGGTTTCAGTCTTCCTAAGAGGATGAAGGGGCATAGTAATTGTTTTCCTCTAACTAAAGACCAAAGTCGGGGATGATCTGTTAAAATTGCGACACACTCAGATATGCCCTATTTGTGAAGATGAGACAGGAGGCACACAGATTAAATATTGGATATTCTCAAAGTTCCTTTTAATGAATGGGTGCCAGTTTTTTCATCCACCAGCTTTTCCTTGACCTTAAAAAAAAAAGTTATCAGTTGACATTTGTCTTTGCAGAGCTGTGCTTTGTTTCACAGCTGAGTGACAGAGAGAAATATATGTCCTGAAGTAATCTGTCATCGTGAGTGTCCTGATGCCTGGCAGTTGCTTTTAAAGGGTGGACTGGACAGGTCCTTTTCTGTTCATTCTTCTCTGATAACTATAAATAGCAAGGAAATATGTGTCATGTGGCTGCCTTCTTGACATGTGCTTTTTTTCTCCCCTCCCTCAGTGCCCTTGGGGAGAAGATCCACTCATTGGTTTTATACCAAACCTGACAAAGCCTCGGTTGTCAAAGGTGGCACCAGGAGGATGTCACACATAGGAGTAAAACTATTCCTAGAGCAAATGATGATGAGACATCTGGAAGTGAATGCATGCTTGTACCCACACATGGAGGCTTTGTGGGGGACTAAGGGGCCGGTGAAAGAGAGCTCCGGTGAGAGTAAGAAATCCAGCCTGCGAACGGACAGTCTTGGTCCTGAGAGCGCTCGACAGCACTTTCGGAGCTTCTATTATCACGAAGCACCCGGACCCCTGGAGGCTGTCAGCCAACTTCAGGAATTATGCCAGCAGTGGCTGAGGCCCGAGATCCACTCGAAAGAGCAGATCTTGGAACTGCTGGTGCTTGAGCAGTTCCTGACTATTCTGCCCAGGGATACCCAGAACTGGGTGCAGAAGTATCGTCCACAGAGCGTCAGAGAGGCTGTGGCCCTGGTAGAGCGCTTTCAGAGAGAGCCTAGTGGAATAAGTGATGAGGTGAGAAGCTCCCTTATGTGGACAGTGAAATAGGGTGAAGGTGAAATTGTCCAGGTTGGGTGTTGGGGGGGGCAGTGGAGGAACAAGGAGGAGTAGGTGACTCTTCTGTCATCCCTTGAGGACAGCCAAGCAGGATCTGAAACCACAGATGCGTGGGAGTAGTAGATGACAGGTTCCAGAGTTCCTGGCCATCTTTCTTGGCCTTGCAAAAAAGAAATGCATTTTGCCCTCTTTCTGGCCAGGGCGAACTAGGGGTGGTGGGCCTCGGCTGGCATGGCCAAGGAGAGAGGACTTGAGTTCTTAGAAACAGAGAAATAAAAGGCAAGGCAGAGTTGGGAAAGGGGGAAAAATTTGAAAAAAAAAAAAAAAGGCAGAGCACTTAGAGATCAAAGGAGAGAGAGGGCAGCAAACAGAAGTATAAATCAAAGAATTCTGGGAAGACTATAAAAGAAGAGAAGAAATGGGAAGATAAAAGGGAAGCAAAGATACAGAAAGAAGAAAACTGCCAAGAGAGGAGTGGACAGAATCAGGTGCGGAGGGGTAGCGCCCTCTCTAGTGGGAGCGCCTGTCTCTGGGCCAGGAGAAAAGAGCCTCCATTGCCCTCCCTTGGTGGTGTGCCCTTGGCCTTCCTGGGAAGTGGGGAACCAGCGTACGCCCTTGGGAGATGGCAGCACCCTTCCTTTCCTTGGGAGCCCGAGGAAGTGTTCACTTTGAGGAACACGGGGCACGGTATATTTTTGGTATTTTACTACAATGGAATCATACGGAGGGAAGTGAGAGTCCAAACTTCCCTCTCATTTTTCCTTCACTGTATCCCCTTTCTCCATGAAATCCTTCCCTGGCTGTGGAAGGATTGGAAAATCTGACTGGCTGGGGATCTTTTTTTATTTTTATTTTTTAAAAAGATGTTATTTATTTGTCAGAGAGCATAAGCAGGGGGAGTGGCAGGCAGAGGGAGAAGCAGAGTCCCCACTGGGCAGGCCCCCCCCCCCATGCGGGACTCAATCCTGGGACCCTGGGATCAGGCCCTGAGCCAAAGGCAGACACTTCACTGACTGAGCCACCCAGGAGTCCTCTGGGAATCTTTTATTCAACTCCTTCTGTTTTAAAGAAAACTGACACATTAAAAATGCCCTTAGGCAAGGGTCCCAGGCAAGAAAGCAAGCCAGTGAAGGGACAGTTAGAGGCAGCGTCCACGCTGAGAGGGGCCTGAGCTGTGGCTGGCTTGCTAAGCTTACTTCATCTGATCCCACTTTCCTCAGACGATGTATATGGTTCTTTGCGAGGAAACGGTGGCTCAATATCTCTTTAGTTTTTCTTTTTTCTTTTTTTTTTTTTTTAATGACTTCCTGGAATGTCACAGCTTCCCGGATCTGGGCTCTCCTCTTGCTCATCCCTCCACCACTACCCCCAAACGAAAAGTAAGTTCTGTGCTAATGAGGATGGGGATTATTTCTAGGTCACAGCTCATGAGCTGGGAAAGGAGGCAGTGCCCTTGGGAGGAACAGCAGTGGCCCCAGGCTTTAAGTGGAAGCCCGCAGAGCCCCAACCAATGGGTATGTTCCAGAAAGAATGTTGGAATACATACCGGGTACTACAGGAAGAGCTGGGCTGGAAAACTCACAAAGAAACCCAGCCAGTATGTGAAAGAGGTGAGGAGTTTCATCATCATTCTCTTCTCCTGGGCACTGTCCTAGGAATCGGTTCAGCTGGAATGTCATGGGAATTTTCCAGGTGCCCAGCCTTGCCAGCTGTTAGGATGTGTTTCAGGTTGAAGGACAGTAGGCCAGTGGGTGGGTGAAGGTCAGGGTCAGCCTGGGGTGCAGAAATGTCCAAACCAGAGAACCCTGGTATTCACACCGCAGACCTCACTCCTTAGAAGTTTGAGAGAAGATGGATGGACTAGGGACAGGTGGGGTCATCTTACCCTTCTGTGATAGAGAAGAAACTGGGATTGGAAATGGGTCATCGTGGCAGAATGGGGAGAGAATTGTACACCAGGAAAAAAAATGATAAAAGACAGAAACCGGCTACACTGGAGGACCTGAGTCTTTGATTTTTCAGTCCCCTCTAATTCCTGCCTAGCCCGGTAAACAATTTATTTTACGAGAGGAAAAAAAATAATGGATCTCCTATTAATTTCTCTCACAAAATCTGGGGAACCGGTTCCTTGGAGTGGTGGGTAGTCGGTTCTCATTTTCAATGAAAAGGCCGCCTTTGGTAGCACACACACACTTGTGAATGTGAGCCACCCTTACTAAAGGACTCCTGAGGTTCTGGGTTCTAGAAATCAGCTGAGGATATTTGTCAGCCCAAAAGAGAGACATTTTCTCTGGCTCTTTTCCATCCACAGCTGGGCCTGCTCAACAGATTCTAGCCTTTTCTGAGCAGAAAAGCACCCCAAACTGGAAGATGGCGTCTGAGCTCATCTTGCCTGAGTTCCAGGTGAGCCGTACTTTGCAGCTTTTTCAGGCAGCCCGCACCTGGCCTTGTCTGTGCTTTTCTCTGCTGCCCGCATCCCACAGTGCTCAGCAGGCGCTCTGAGGCGTGTTAGCCCCGGATGTTCACCTCGAGGCAAGTAGGCTTGGCATGGTGGGGACCAGGCCTCTCCCACGCTGTTTACTGATCTCTGGCTTTTTTCCTTTTCTGCCGTCTTCCTTTCCCCCACCTGAATCTTAATACTGTCTTTGGTGGCTGGCCTGCTGTGTAGTTCAGAGATGAGGGAGAGGATGGCTTCCATGGTGGCCTGTACTGAACCGAAACCCGTTCTCTCCTTCAGAGCCTGTTGACATTTGAGGATGTGGCGGTGTCTTTCTCTGAGGAAGAATGGCGGTTACTGGACCCTACTCAGAAGAGCCTTTACAATGACGTAATGCAGGAAAACTATGAGACTGTCGTCTCTCTAGGTAAAGAGTCTTCCTTTGCTTTGGGTAGAAGTTGAGTAATCTAGGCACAGTTTATGGAAAACCGTCTCCTGTGGGAGAGTCCCCGGGTTCCAGTAGCTGTTTAGGTCTGACCTTGGTGGTGTGGGGGGAAGGCGAGGCGTATCCAGATGATTCAGAATAGATCCTCACTACAAGTGTGTCTCCCCGTCTTCTGCTCTGACTACCCTCGTCCAAGCTGCCGCCATCCCTGACCCAGTCTGCTTCAGTAGGCGGGATCCCCATTCTCCACCCCGTTCCACCTGCCCTCCTGAGGCTTCCTTCTCCACTTCGTCCTTGCATCTCCGCCCACGACCACAGTAGACTAGAAAGAAGGTGCCTTAAGATTCTGCCCATTTAGGGGCGCCTGGGTGGCTCAGTGGGTTAAACCTCTGCCTTCGGCTCAGGTCATGATCCCAGGGTCCTGGGATCGAGCCCCACATCGGGCTCTCTGCCCAGCGGGGAGCCTGCTTCTCCCTCTCTGTCTGCCTGCCTCTCTGCCTACTTCTGCCTACTTGTGATTTCTCTCTGTCAAATAAATAAATAAATAAAATCTTTAAAAAAAAAGATTCTGCCCATTTAAACATTTGGAGTAAATGAAAGTATGAAAGAGTCATTCCCTCTTCCTGAAAAGAGTCTGGAATTAAGATGGCAGCCCATGACCTCAGAGTTTTATACTCAGAGCATCTTTGTTACCCCCAACCCTGAAGTAATCTGCTTAGAACAAGGAGGAGAACCATAGATCCAAGGTCCCCAAGAGTTCGAGGACAGCCTTGGAGAGTCTCCTACAGGTAAGTATGTACACGGGGAGAAGAGAAATGTTCCTTGATGAGAACTATTACAGGGGATTGACACTCCAGGATTCTATTCCTGTGTTTTTCTTACCGAACTTCTTACTGAGATGACTGTAGATTCACATGCAGATTTAAAATATAATACAAAGAGCACCTGTATACATTTCACCCAGCTCCCCTCAATGATAACTTCTGTGAAAAGTATCATTAATGTCACAACCAGGCTGTTGATACTGATATGGTCTTCTGACCTTTATATTTTCCATTTTATTTGTCTGTCTGTGTAATTAGTTCTGTAAAGTTTTTTTTAAATGATCTATTTATTTATTCTAAGGAGGGAGAGAGTGTGTACGTGCAGGGGGAGGGGCAGAGGGACAGATTCTCTAGCAGACTCCCCACTGAGTGGGGCCTACGACACAGGGCTCAATCTCATGACCATGAGATCATGACCTGAGCTGAAATCAAGAGTCAGAGGCTTAACCGACAGCCTTCCCAGGGCTCCTCGTTCTGTAAAGTTTTATCGCAGGCATAGGTTTGCATACTCACCTCTGCGGCCTAGATACTGGAGAGTTACTTGACCACAGGGACCTTTGTTTTGCCCTTTTATCATCATACGCTGTCCTCTGTACCTCACCCCATCACTGGCCCATGCCAACCACTGATCTGTTTTACATTTCTGAAATCTTGCCATTTCAAAAGTGTTACATGAATAAAACCATAAAATGTGTAATCCTTTGGCATTAACTTTTTTCATTCAGAATAAGTCCCTGGGAATTGATCTGAATTGTTGTGTACCAAAAGTTGATTTTTTTGTTTGTTTGTTTTTTTAATACTGAGTAGCATGCCATGATACTGAGAGACCAGTTTGTATACCCATTAACCACTGAAAGATCTTTGCTGTCTTCAGTTTTGGGCTACCATGAGTAAAGCTGTCCTGAGCATTTGTGTGCAGAATTTTTTTTTAGAGATAAGTTTCTATTTCTCTGGAGTAAATCCCTTAAGAGTGCAATTGCTGGTTCATATGGTAACATGTTTAATTTCCTAAGCACTTGCCAAACTGTTTTCCGCAACGACTGTACCATTCCCCATTCCCAGCAGCAGAGGACGAGTGGTCCCATTTCTCCATGTCCTTGCCAGTGTTTATATCACCTCCATTTATGTTCGCCATTCTGATCAGCCTATAGGGTTACCTCGTGGTGATTTGGATTTACATTTCCCTAATGGCCAGTGATGTTCTATAGCTTTTCCTGTGCTTATTGGCCATCTCTGTTTTCCGTCAGTGAAGTATCTTTTACCCATATTTTAATTGGATTGTTTTTTAACTCTTGAGTATTGAGAATTTCTGTATTCTAGATTCTAGCTCTTTGTCGAATACGTAGATTGCAAATAGTTTCTCCAAGTCTTTATATTGTCTTTTTAATCCTCTTCCCATGGGCTTCCACACAGCAAAAGTTTCTCATTTTGATGAGGACCAATTTTTCAGTTTTTTTCCTTTTATACATTGTGTTTTTAGTGTCAAGGTTAGAACTCAGACTAACCCTAGATCCCTAAAATTTTCTGCCTTTTTTTCCAAAAAGTTTTACAGTGTGATATGTAAGTCCCTGATCCATTTTGGGTTATTTATTATATGAGGTATGAAGTTTAGGATGAGGCTCGTTCTTTGGCCTATGGAGGGCCAGTTGCTTCAGCTCTGTTTCTCAAAAAGGCTATCTTTCCTCCATTGAATTGTTTTTTAAAATATTTTATTTATTTATTTGTCAGAGAGAGAGAGAGAGGGAGCGCACAAGCAGGGGAAGCGGCAGGCAGAGGGAGAATCAGGCTCCCCGCTGAGCAAGGAGTCCAATGTGGGACTCTATCCCAGGACCCTGGGATCATGACCTGAGCCGAAGGCAGACAGACGCCTAACCGACTGAGCCACCCAGGCCTCCCCTCTATTAAATCATTTTTGCACTTTTGTCAAAGAGCAGTTGAGTGTATTTCTGTGCATCTGTTCTGTTCCACTGGGCTCTGTGTTTGTGCTGCTGCCAATGTTACACTGTTGATTGCTGTAGCTCTGTAGTATCAAGGCCGTAATGTCTGTCAAGTAGACTGATGCTTCCCACTTTATTCTTTTTTGTAAAATAAAATTTTATTTTAACCCTTCTGGGGCCTGTGCCTTTCCATGTAAAATTTAGAGTACTCTTATCTATGTCTACAAGGAATTTTATTGGGATTTTGCTAGATACTACATTAAACCTATGTATTAGTTTGAGGAGGATTGTGTCTTTACTATGTTGATTTTTTTTGCTCAGTGAACACAGTGTGTGTCTATTTATTTAGGTCTTCTCGAATTTCTTTTGTCCACTTTTTGTAATTTTCAATGTACAGATCCTCTGTTTTGTTAAATAGAGGCCAAAGCATTTCATTTTCACTGGAACATTTGTAAATGGTATTATTTTTAATTTTGGTTTCTGTGTGTTCGTTATTTTTTTATAGGAATGGCACTGATTTTGTATGTTGATCTTGTATTCTGTGATCCTGCTCACTCATGTATTATTTCTAAGAGGTTTTTTTTGTAGATTCCTTGAGATTTTTACACATAGATAATCACATGATCTGCAATGCCTTTTAATGCCATAACTGTAGTAGCTCCAACCTCCTGCTATGTTGAATAAGAGTGGAAAGAGCAGACATCCTTGCCTTGTCCCAATTTTATCATGAAAACATTAAGTTTTTCACCATTACCTATTTATGTTAGTATGGATTTTTTATTGTTGATACTCTTTTATCAAGTCAATATAATTCCTAACTTAGTATTTTTACCATGAATGGATATGGAATTTGTGCAACACTTTCCTGTGTCTTTTGATAAGAGTATGATCTTCAAAGGCTTGTTGAAATGGTATGTTATGTTGATTGATTTCAAATGTTGAATCAGCTTTGCATACTTGCAGTAAATCCTTCTTGATGGTGATATCTAATTCTTACATATTGCTGTATTTTTTGCCAGTATTTTGTTGAGTATTTCTACATTTAAGTTCATGGGAGATGTTTGTAGTTTTCTTAAAAAAAAAAAAGATTTATTGGGCACCTGGATGGCTCAGTCAGTTGGGCAACTGCCTTCAGCTTGGGTCGTGATCTCAAAGTCCTGGGATCAAGTCAAGCGTCAGGCTCCTTGCTCAGCAGGGAGTCTGCTTCTCCCTCTGACCCTCCCCTCTCATGCTTGCTCTCTCTCTCAAATAAATAAATAAAATCTTTAAAAAATAAAGAATAAAAAAATATTTATTTATTTTAGAGAGAGAGAGTGCACATGAGTGCGTGAGCGGGGTTGGGGGGAAGGACAGAGGGAGAGAGAATCCTCAAGCAGACTCCCTGCTGAGCAGGGAGCCCAACGTCAGGCTCAATCCCAGGACCCTGGGACCATGACAGAATCCAGAGTCAGAATCCAGAGTCAGCTGCTTAACCAGAGTCAGAATCCAGACTCAGCTGCTTAACCACCTGAGCCACCGAGGCGCCCCAGTAGTTTTCTATTTTTTGTGTTGCCTTTATATGATTTTGCTATCAGGGTAATACCGGCCTTATAAAATGAGTTGTGTAGGATTTCCTCCTTTCTGGAAGAGATTGTGTAAAATTGGTGTTAATTCTTTAAATATTTGGTAGAATCCTCCAGTCACACCATGTGGACTTGGATTTTGGGGGGAGGCTTTTAAACTATGAATTCAATGTGTTTAATGGTGATAGTCCTATTCAGAAATCTATTTCATGTTGGTTGAATTCTGTTAGTAATGTCATGAATAGGGGCACCGGGGTGGCTCAGTGGGTTAAGCCTCTGCCTTCGGCTCAGGTCATGATCTCAGGGTCCTGGGATCAAGCCTGCTTCCCCCTCTTCCTCTGCCTGCCTCTCTGCCTACTTGTGATCTCTCTCTCTCTCTCTCTCTCTCTCTGTCAAATAAATAAATAAATAAATAAAATCTTTAAAAAATAAAATGTCATGAATGTAAGGTTATTTATACTATTATCTTACCATCCTTTTATTTATTATTTATATTTTAAAAAGATTTATTTATTTATTTGAGAGAGAGAGAGAGCAGGGGGAGGGGCAGAGAGAGAGGGAGAGAAGCAGACTGCTTGCTGAGGGCAGAGCCCGAGGCAGGGCTTGATCTCAAGATCCTGAGATCTTGACCTGAGTCAAAATCAAGAGTCAGACGCCCAACAGGCTGAGCCACCCGGGTACCCCTCTAACCATCCTTTCAGTTATGGCAGGATGTGTAGTGATGTATCCAGTTTCCTTCCTGATACTAGTGATTTGGATTTTCCCTCCTTTTATTTTTGTCAGTTGTGAAAGCGGTTTGTCAATTTTATTAGTTTTCTTGAAGAACAAGCTTTTTCTTTGGTTGTGGCTTTTGCTCTGATCTTTATTATTTCCTTTCTTTAACTTGCTTTGGGTTTATTTTGCTTTTTTCTCTAGTTTATTGAGGTAGAAATTAGATTATTGATTTGAGACCTTTCCCCTTTTCTATTGTATGTACTTGGGGCTGTACCTTTTTCTCTGAGCACTTCTTTAGCTGCATTCCACATATTTTGATACATTGTAATTTCATTTTTTCTTATTTATTTATTTATTTGTATTTTTTAATTTTTTTAGTAATCTCTACACCCAACGTGGGGCTTGAACTCATGACCCTGAGATCAAGAGTCTTCTGCTGCACCAACTGAGCCAGCTAGGTGCCCCTGGAATTTTATTTCCTTTTTTTTTTCAAAGATTTTATTTATTTATTTGTCAGAGAGCATGCACAAACAGGGCAAGAAGCAGGCTCCCCACTGAGCAAGGAGCCCGATGTGGGACTTGATCTGGGGCTTTGGGGTCATGACCTGAGCTAAAGGCAGACACTTAGCCAACTGAGCATCCCAGGCGCCCTGGAATTCGATATTCATTCAACTACATATTTTTAAGTTTTCTTTGTGACTTTCTCTTTGAACCATGGAAATTTTAGAAGTATATTTTTTTTTGTTTCCCCATATTTTTTTAAAAAATATTTTACTTATTTATTTGAGAGAGAGTGAAAGAGAGAGCATGAGAGGGGGCAGGTCAGAGGGAGAAACAGACTGCCCACTGAACAGGGAGCTCAATGCAAGGCTTGATCCCTGAATCCAATGCCAGGATCATGACCCGACCCAAAGGCAGAGGCTTAACCAACTGAGCCACCCAGGCGCTGCTTGTTTCCACATACTTCTAGATTTTCCTCTCTATGTCTTTGATTTCCAGTCTGGTGCCATTTTTGTTTGCTTGTATCCTGATCCTTTTGTCTATTAGGTTAGGAGGGTCAGGGTCCTTTTTAACTATTATAATTCATCAGTCACCCTGTTTTACTTTATCACAGAGGTTCTTTCCTAGTTTGGGGGTTTACATTTCCAGTGACAGTTTAACGTTCAGAGCCTTCCTAGTGTTACTGTGGTTTCCTTGGTTTATATGGTACAGCTAGGGTTCCTGTATGTCCCTGCTTCTGTCGCCTGAGGGTGAGGAAGGGATTTACACAGGCCCAGAGTGCCTCTCAGTCGGAAAGGGATGAAGAGGCTTGGGGGGCCAGGCCGCTGTGGCTAGGTGCCTCTTGCTCCTTCTGCCAGCCCACTTCGGTGTCTCCCGACTGGGGTTCGGGTGTTGGCAGACTTCCCATTCCAACTGCTGAAGAGATAAGCCTGTCCAGGCAGCTTTGTGTTGCTGGGTTGAGGGTTGGAAGATGCTGGCTGGGGTTGCCTTCTTCTGGGGCTCTGGGGATACAGGACGCCCTGCTGTGTTATTCTGCTAGGACTGGCGTCCCAAACCATTTTGCTTTCTTCTTACCGTGTCTTGGAACTCTCTGTTGGTTGTGGCTGGCATTCTTTCATTGGCTTGTCGTGCCCAGCAGGGAGGATCAGGAGGAAATGCATCAGTTCTGTTTTGTCCATATTGGACCAGAAATCACTTGTTCTGTGTTTTTTTTTTTTTTTAAAGCAGTCATTGATTTTTCTCTCCATTCCTGTAGTTTTCTTGTTCTGGGACACCGACGGCTGACTCTTCTGTTTATTCCAACAGGGTTAAAGCTCAAAAATGACACTGGAAATGACCAACCTATATCTCTTTCTGCATTAGAAATACAAGCATCAGGATGCAGAGTGTTAAGAAAGGCCAGAATGAAAGTTGCCCAGAAAACAACAGGCAAAGAAAATCATGGCGGGACACGCAGGGTACGGAGACGGCACCGAGCTTTTCTAGGCAGGAAAAGAAAGAAACTTTCAACTTGTAAACAAGAGCTTCCAAAACATAAGGATCTCCAAGGGAAAGGCCATGCAGGGGAGAAACCTTTTAAGTGTCAGGAATGTGAGAAAAGTTTCAGAGTTAGCTCTGACCTCATTAAGCACCAGAGAATTCACACTGAAGAGAAACCCTATAAGTGTCAACAGTGCGATAAGAGGTTTAGATGGAGTTCAGATCTTAATAAGCACTTAATGGCCCACCAAGGAATAAAACCGTACAGATGCTCGTGGTGTGGGAAAAGCTTCAGTCACAATACAAATCTACACACACACCTAAGAATTCACACAGGAGAGAAGCCCTTTAAATGTTACGAATGCGGGAAAAGATTCATTCAGAACTGCCACCTTATTAAGCACCAGAGAACCCACACAGGCGAGCAGCCATATACTTGTAGCGTGTGCAGGAGAAACTTCAGCCGGCGCTCCAGCCTTCTTAGACACCAGAAACTCCACAGGAGAAGGGAGTCCTGTCCAGTGTCTCCAGTCTGAAGAAAGTCACCAAACGGATCTTGACCCTAGAGGTGACGCATGAGGATAAAACCATGAGGCACCAATGATAGAAATTTGGCACCCACAGGAAATGTGGGAGGGGTTCATGGCCTACTTCACAGAAAGGAATCTAAGCCGTCTCTCTTGTTCAGCATTGTATCTTCAGTGCCTAGCACAAGACTGATACACAATGAGTACTTGATCAATAAAAGAGTGGAAATACAGCTGTCATCTATCTATAGTTATCTGTTCATCTATCTGTCTGTGTATCTGTCTGCTTACTCAGCTTCCCCACCCTCGGTGATCGGAGTTCTTCAAGTATCAGGTGCTCAGCAGACACATGATGGCTGTGAGTCCTGCTCTCATTCTTTCTCCAGAGAGATGGAAAATAAGAGTATTCAGGTCCTCTGAAGGGAGCTTAGAGAGAATTACTAAGCTGGAGGAGAGTTTCTATGGCTATTATTCTTTCGACAGGAACAGCCAAGCCTGGGGCTGTGAGGGAACTTGATTCTCCAGCAGGAAGGGAGCGTTCGGTGTTTGCCTGGGAGAAGTGCCCCCAGGCTGTTCCCCCCAGGGCCCACTGCCACCATGGTTTCTGTCAAGGAGTTGGAAGCAGCAGGCGAAGCCCTCAATGGCACCACAGACCTAGCGACCCTGCAAGTGCTTCATACCTCTCCTGATCCTCTCAACACCGACGTTGATAGAAGAAAATGATGAAGGAGCACTCCGGGCCCTTATCCACATACGTATTTCTTTGTAGAAGGCCCAGGGCCATGGTAAATGGCCTTTTTTTTTTTTTAACTTTTCACCCTGTGGACTAAGGCTTTCAGATTGGTGCCACACTGCTCCAGAGCCTCAAGAGAAGCCTGTTTTTATGGCTGCTCAGCCACAACGCCATACGCTTTGGATGCTCTGCAGGAAAGTCTGGAAGTTTTGCAAACGGAGGTGCTGAGAATGGCAAGGTGAACCCGGTGGCCTCATGGCCTCAGCACACATTGGATAGCAGGAGGGAACATCCAGAAGTGTCAGAGCAAAGTCAGGCCTAGAGGCATGGCCCCAGTGAGAACGAGGTCAGATGGAAACTGTGTTGTGATACTGGTAGTTTCTCTTCCTCCCCCATTGGCCTCGGGGATTATCTATCTCTGGAAAAGACAATGTCAGGTCAAGGGCAGGGCAGGGAAGTTGGAGGACATGGATTTGTAGCTACGTCAGATCCTAGTTTAAGATGTTGGCCAAGGCTTCAATATGTTTATTATTATAAAATTTTACTTTTTTAGTGATATGGAGTGTTGTTTCATATTAAACATGAAACAAAACTCCATGGTTAGTGAATCAGCCAGAGAGGACAGTCACTTTTTTGGCATAGATCTCTCCAGATATTTTTTCCCATCAAGAGACTGCTCTACGCCTGTTTTCAGGCTTGCAAAATGATAACTCCATCCTCTTGGCTGCTGTGAGGATCTAATTAGATGTGAACCTGCCTCACGCTGATGGGCCACAGTAGGTGTTCATAAGCATTTGGAACATTCTTCCTTCATCTTTCAGCTATTTTTTTAAAGATTTTATTTATTTGTCAGAGAGAGCACAAGCAGGGGGAGTGGCAGGCAGAGAGAGAGGGAGAAGCAGGCTCCCTACTGAGCGACGAGCCTGATGTGGGACTTGATCCCAGGACCTGGGGATCATGACCTGCGCTGGAGGCAGACACTTAACCAGCTGAGCCACTCAGGCATCCCTTTAAGCTATTTTTTAAAAAGATTTATTTATTTGTCAGAGACAGAGTGGGTGCGGGCACACAGGGAGTGTGGCAGGCAGAGGGAGAAGCAGGCTCTCCGCTGAGCAGGGAGCCTGATGTGGGACTCCATCCCAGAACCCTGGGATCATGACCTGAGCTGAAGGCAATGCTTAATCAACAGAGCCACCCAGGTGCCCCCTCAGCTCTTTCGAAAAGAAGCTCAATTAGGCAGAAAAGTTGAACATCCTTAATGAATGGTGTTTCCATCATTCCCAGCCGTTTTTTTAAAGCCTCTTCCTGGTGGTCCAAAAGGTAGCCTGGTACGCCAGTCTTTTCTAGAGCTACATCTCCCTAGGCGCTGTGAAGCAATAAGCTAATGTCCCCGTTGAGCTGGGTATACTGCTAGCAGATAACAGACCAAAATAGACCCAAAGCCCCCAACTTGACATCCCTGCAGTGTGGCGGGGAGGTGATGGCGAGGGGCAGGACACTTTGTGGACAATATTTGCCCTCTTGGCTGTATCTATCCTCAAACCGATGGGAGAGGAAAGAGGTGACTAGAATGGCCACTAAAAAGAAAGCAAGCACTTAGCCCAGAGGACGAAGTGACCTGGAAGGAAAGGATCCCATTATATTCCTGAAGGCTTGGAGACTGATGGCCCCACCACCCCTTCTATAAATATCTGTGACTGTGCTCTTGGGATTAAGGGGACATTCACCTTTCAGAGGGCACTCTCTTCATGTGGCTCTGTGTCCTGTACCACCCTGGGCGGCTGCTGTCATACCAACATTCAAAGGACATTCGTTCGAGTCGCATATAGGAAGAGGAGACTGATTCGAGAAGTGAAGGAGATACCGCATGGATGGAGCCAGTGGGTACGGCCCGCTTCAGAGACTCCGTAGAGGGCCTGAGCGTGAGTCTGCAAAAGGCCATGCCCGTTGTCATAAAGCTGCCAAACCCTGTTATCACACCTGTTAGCCTGAAAGCTCCTTTGGAGGTCCTCGTCTACACTGGCATCCCCAGGAGAGGTCAGAACCAGGGGATCTGGGGCCTACTGTAGAGACCAGTCATTTAAGGCAAGCGGCAGGAAGGCCTTCCGATGCAAACGGGCAGAAACAGGAAGAGAATTGAGGATTCCCGGTTCTGAATTCAGACTCCACTGCCCTTCGGATGCAAGGGCTCCAAGAAGAAAGGACGTTCTCGTCCCTGCAGTTGTGGGACAGGATTTAGAAGTTGAGGCTCCTGGCTGACCTCTCAGTACCTATTTTTTTCCTTTTCAGCCCTCTGACATAGCTTCCCGGGGCCCCATTCCCCAAGCATCCTTGACCACTCATGTCAGCCCTGACCATCTCAGACAAAGGAGGAGAGACCTCAGGCACTAGGGAGAGAGATGGCAGAACGGAATAAAGGAGAGAGACGTCAGGCTGCTTTATGTGGCCTGCCACGTCCCCAGCATATGACTAAGAGATGGCAGCTCTGCGGCCTTTCTGAGGACAAGACAGGAGGACAGCACACAGAAGCTTGAAGAGTGGAAAACACAAGCTGATGAGTCATCCAAGGGGCAGAGCGAAGAGGCAGAAGGCTCCAAGTTCAGATCCCATGGGCAGAGATGGGCCTGAGGAGACACAAGCTGGCCTGAGCCCGGGCTGAGGGCTGTGGGTTCATACCCCAGTGTCTGTGCTCCTGTCCTCGGGAAGTGAGGGGCATCACGGGGAAGATGGGCTGGGTAAGGAGAGGCCAGCCGCCCTCTGCCGCCAGGGTCTTCATCTGGACGGCCTGAGTAGGGAGGTCTGGGGCTCAGCACAGCACCACCACTTGCTGTGGCTGAGGCCCAAGTGCATGTCTGGGTCCAGGCCCATTTGTGCAGGACCCAGGTCTTGACCTTCTCTCTCCCAGCAAACCATGGCACGGCCGCTACCCAAGAGCCTGTTCAGATACCTCCGCAGTGACCGCTGCAGTCGCTTAGGGCTATGTTCCCTATGCCCTCCAGTCCTGTAGTGCACCGTGGCTGAAGGGCCCTTGGAAGCCGAGGACACCACCACTCCTTACTTTACAGAAGAGGCCCCTGGAGCTCAGGGTGTTTCCCTTCCCGGGGAAGGGAAGGGTAGAGGGAGGGATTGAAATGGTCTCTGTGGCCCCAGGCCTCTCTCTCCCCAGATGGGATACATTCAGCTCGCAGCAGTGGCTTCTCGGGAAGGGTCCTTCTTCAGCCTCTTGGCTCTCTCCCGCAGGGCGAGGAATCCCTTCTAAGCGATGGTCGGCTTTGTTCTCGGAGGACTCCAAACCCTCTTCTCTCAAGATAACCCTCAGGTGGGAGGTTCCACGTCTGAGCTCTTCACAGAAGGGCTGCCCTGTTAATGAGGTGCCAGTCCTCCAGAAGCACATCCTGTCCCTGTCCATAGACTAGGACCAGGAACCATACCCCTTCCACCCGCTCTCCCGCCCAGAGGGGTGTGGGACTCGTAGGAGAGTCACGGGCAGAGCTGGACATGGGGGACACATCCTGGAGACTCAGCCTCTCCTCAGAACACCCCACGTCCTTATTTCTGTGCTACATATTCCAGAATTTTCCTCCAGCACCGTGTTCATTCAAGATTCCAGCAGCCCCTGGTTCCCACATCCTTTCTGTCCTGTCCCCCCACCCCTCCCGCTCACAGACCCAACGCTGAGCCATGCTGTGAATGCACTTTCAACTAGTCTTTGTTTTTGAGCCCTCAGGAGGCCCTCCCAATTTGTCCAAATCCTTCCTTCCAATGTCACACCACATCTTCCTCCTCCTGCTCCCCAAACTCACTCCATACCGACTGTCCTCTTAGAACAGCATTTAAAACCCAGATTTTGTTAAAGCACTGATTGCTGGGCCTCAGCCCCAGAATTTCTACCTCCGTTGGCCTGGGGTGGGGCCAGGAAATGGGCATTTCTGACAAGACCCCGCGTGGCGCTGATGCTCCAGCACGCCGTTTGAGAACTGCAGTCTTAGAACACCTCTCGTGTACTTTCTCCCGTGGGCAGGGATGGTCTTAGAACCTCGGTCACTGGCAACGGCTGGCGCAGGGCTAGATGTCAATGTAAGCTTCCTGAATGCCTGGGGCTGACCACTTTAGGGTTAAATGGGATCTTAATCTGCACTTTACTCTCCTATAATTGGCAAATGACTACGACAACTAAGCCTGGCTGTCCAGGCTCTCGGTGTTTCCTGAGTTTTGCAGCTTCCCTCCCATCTGCCTGATCTTGCCGTCTGTTTCAGCCTCTGGGACGGCCGGCATG